CAAGCATTGATTCTTAGAGTCCCGAGGGCCCCAATCCGGAAGTCTGCATCTCCCTACCTGACTCAGTTTAACTGTCAGGGGTTTCATGGATTGATGCCATGTTTTTGTTTGGCCACCACTTACTCTTCTCCAACCTTCACCTATATCAGCTAGTAATGCCCGTCAGGAGAGACGATGGTTAGGCATGCGCAGCACGTGACCTAGCCATCTCAATCTATGTAACTTTATAGCCTCGTCGACTGATTTTCCCTCTTTGCCCAACACTCTACGCCTAACGTCAACATTACTTACCCTATTATACCACCTAACGTGAGAAAGAGATCGTAGACATCTATGATCAAAAACAGTCAACCTTTTCATGTCTTCAACTCGTATTGGCCATGTTTCAGAGCCATAGAAAAGGACGGAGCAAACTGCTGAGCAGTACACACGTCCCTTGGTTGATAGCCGGATGTCACGCCTACGCCAGAGACGGTGTAAGTTAGCGAAAGCAGCCCGAACTTTCTGGATCCGTGCTGAGATTTCGTCACTAATCAATCCGTTGGTGCTGATACAACTTCCCAAATAGGTGAAGTGGTCAACATGCAAGTGAATGAAATGAGACGGTCGACCTCGTTTCTAGATTATTTAACTTACCAGGGTCAAACATTTTAGGTGTAGCTAAATTTTTACATTCTGGTAATCTAAATAACCCCGATGTACTAGTTTCATCAATGTAATTATTTACCTCATTAACAGTCAAGTCATTACATGGTTGGTATTCGGTAAATTATATGATTATTCTTAATGGGATCTATCGGGTCCTTAAGACGACAAAATTTATCTCTGAGAGAGATTTCGTTGGTTTGAATTCCACCCAAACTAACTTCAGCCTCAATGAGAACCTTACGTAAGGCCTTTGACGTTCCTTCTTTATACGACTGCGCTACTATAAAGGCTTTGAATTCTATATTATTTTCTTTCAATTTGATTATTGGTCTTATTTTGTATCTATGCTTCTTCATTCATTTATGAATAAAATTTTGATGGGTAGTACTTATTGAGTAGTAATGTTTTCCCTATTTGTTCGTTTTCATTATATAAATCTACTGGCTTACTAGTTAGGCTCCTGGTTCAATTTTTATTATTATTGTTTCCTTTAATTCTTAGAGGAACATAGGGCTTCAGCCGTGCGTCTCCATTGCGTTCGGTTTTCTGCTAGAGCCTTCACCTGGCTCCAAGTCTCCCCACATGTTTTCATCTCCTCTTCACATGACCTCCTCAAAGTCACCCTTGCACTGACAACCAACTCGCCTCTTCCCTTTCGGCTACCACTCGAGCAATGGCTTGTCTAGTGATGTCACTTGATGGTTTCCTCAGAGCATGGCCAATCCACCTCCATTTCTTCCTGCTTATTTGTTTCACAATCGGTTCCTGGTTGGTTCGCTCCCAGAGATCTCTGTTGCTGATCTTTTCTGGCCATCTGATCTTGAGTATTGAGCGAATACAACTGTTAATGAAGGTTTGTGGTTTTTTTGAGATGCTCTTTATGACGCGCAGTGCAAGTCTCTGATCCGTATAGTGAGTGGCACTGACTGACTTCACATTGGAGTTGAAAATCCGGATCTTATTTTTGATGCTGAGTGCTGTCGACCTCCACACAGACTTGAGAGTAGTGAAAGCTTGTCTTGCTTTTCCTGGTTATTATATAGACATTTAACTAAATCTATATTTACTGATTGTCGATGGGATGAGTTAAAGTCAAGGTATTTATCAGATTGTGTGACGGCTTCCTATAAATGCTAGAATCTAACCCACCATCTTGTTTGCACTTTATTTATAGTCAGTCTAGCATGACCAACTGATTCTGCTCGTTTTATTACTCAGAAGTGAATTAGATCCCATCTAATATTGAGTTTATATGTGTGAAAAACTGAAGGGGATATGTTCAGATTTCAACGCAGTAGTCAATGTATCATCCACATATCTCCACCATAACCTAGGAGCAGGATTAAACGTTCAAAGAGCTTTATGCTCCCAACTGTTCATAAATATGTCTGTTAATATTAGGGATATTAGTGATCTCATCGGCACCCTATTTGTACATATATATATATATATATATATATATATATATATATATATATATAACTTTGAAATTTTAATACAGTGGTGGTTAGACATAACTGAACACCTAATATCATATCATAAACTGAGAGCTAGACAACTGGAGGCGATCAGAAGGGAACCTTGGACTTAGGTTTCGTTGTCGTTGGAAAACATGACTGACAGAATTCAGTCTGCACCAAACGACGGACTAGACGCATGACATTAGTTACTGCCTAGTGTCCGATCAGAGTACACACTACAGCCCTACAGGAGGTCAGTCGTAAAAGTAAATAGCTCAGTGGTAACGTCGCTGGCTGCAGCACATGATAACCAAGATTCTCATCCCAGGAGGGATATAAGTTCTCTCAAGATTGCAGATACACCTTGGTGACAAGTTCCAATAAGCGCAGAACTTAGGTCTAGGGCATTCTGACGACTTCCTCTAACCATCTAACAAAAATTCAGGGTGCACCGTGATGTGGCCACACTTCAAAAGTGACTTACAGAATTTAGTATGAGTCGAAATGAAGGACTAGACATGTGACATTACCTACCACTTAGTGTTCAAACAAACCAATTGATGTTACCAAAGGACAAGGTATCCCATAAATTGACAGATTTATAAACTAGTTACTTAAAAATAATTCAGTAGTTAAACGCATTTCAGACAAATATTCAACGGCGGTTGCTGTCAACTAGAAAGTGCAGATAAAGGAAAATTCGGGACTAAACAAAGTACAGATATACACATTCTCAGAGATGTAACTCTTATCAAAGCCTTCTGTAAGTAAATTAAAGGACGGTATGATTTCCGAATGCTTTTATAGCAGTGCCAACAAAATATTACAGGAAGTGTAATGGTACTACGATGAAAATTCAGTGAACATTAGTGGCATTCATTATCTAGAAGACGGTTAGTACTGAATATGTCTAAATTATTGTGAATACGCCAAAAAGAGATGTTTACTATATGGAAGATCCAGGTTAGGAATCTACATAGCAGTCAGTACATTTATTGATGATTGTTGTGTTTTAGTCTAAGCAGGCATAACTTTTCTCGTAATTCCAGCACATTAGAGTTAATACAACTTTTAGAATAAAAAAGTGGGAAGTCAGGAACAGCAGGGCACAGCAGGTTAGGCGTGAGGACAAGTACGCTCCACAGATGACATTGGCTAGTGGTTGCGCTATGTCAGGAAATTGGCAGAACTTGGAATTCGTGTGCCATTGGATCGAGTCCCAGTTGCTTAATGGTCTATGAGCTCACTCACCATGTAACCACGTCCTGGATTCGACCCCTAGATGTGGGTGCGTGCTGATGAAGATTCCCAAACCAGGACGAAACAGTTGTCTGTCAGTACTACCAGGTTTTCCAATAGTTCGCTAACAGATATCAGCTCATAATGAAATCCTGTAACCAATAAATTCAATTTATTTAGACGCTCTACTTTTTCTCCTCAAAGGAACTGACCAAAACCACTCTCGTAGCATTTATCCCAGTAGCAAAGAGCATGGTCAACTTAACAGGCCTAGAAGACTCTGCATCTAAAAAGAGACTATATTGTATGGTGATCTTAAATCAACTAGCTCCGTACAAGAAGCGATTGAACTCTCTCTCTCAAAAAAAAATTCAGAATTACACAGGTGCATACCCACTAGTAGTACACTGATAAAGAAGTTATATAAAGACGGTGAAATTAAGAACCTGTGTTAGATATTGTTGTTTATAATCGCTTTAATGATTGTTCTGTGTAAATTCCTGAATAGTTGGACAAAATTCAATAGAGAGTTGTGTTTGGCATAAGTTCTCGATATCCCTTTCTTAACGAGACATTGCCAGAATACCTTTCAATAGACAGAACCGAAAGCGGTTATTAGGCCAGGATATATATTAAGTGTCAGATACCGACAACAAGATTTCTATTTCAGAACTTACCATTAGAATGTGAAGATTTAATCAACACATTTTCATTTTGACCGAATGTTGCTTGATTTCCCTGATGTCAGTTTAGCCTTCTAATGAGTGAGAATCCCAAAGGACAAAATGTTTCGTCAGTTGAACTGATCTCTTTGTGAATGCCATAGAAGAGGATTTCGTCTTGTAAACTGAAATGATCAGTTGTCTACACCGGTTAGAAGGAAATACGTTGGATTCCAAAACATTAGTTGATTAAGTCAATAATCCCCTCAATAATCCACAAACCGTTTTGTAATCAAACTATCAGTTCACGCTGCTTTATCTCATTGCTAGTTTGATACTACCTTTCTACCATTGGTCACAATTGGATAACACAGACGACTAGAATCCCGTCAAGGAACTGGCTTTTACTTCTACAGCTTAATCCTACAGGAGAGATAATCGTAGTCTTCTGGAACTCGTAAGGAGAATTTCAGACACTTGACATAACAACTAAGTGGAATTAGGTGGACGACCACATTTTGGCCATGTGTTTATATCCCAGAATTACAAACATACACTTGTGGTTTGAGTTGTCAGGGTCCTGGTTAGTGAGGACAATTGTCTGTGTTTCAGAAGATAAAAAACTCAATGTAAAGTCTGAGGTGTGGTTTTAAGGTTTGACTGTAGAGCAAAAGGGTTGATGGAAGAACTGTATAAAGTATAGCAAAGGAAAGAAATAGTAAAGATCAAGTGAGTTACATATAAAAATAACAACAGCTAATGAACACGTGCATTTGGTGTGGTCGAATGTGCAAGCAGTCCATACATCTTAGCTGCTGCCACCATAACCGTTGGGTGTAGAAGTATCTAATCTACTCAAAAGATATTGCAACTAGCTTGGGGTTTGTATCAACCACTGCGGAATTAAATTGTTCTTGTTTACAATTATATCAATTATTATATCAAACATTTATACATTCAAAAACCAAACAGTATGAAGAGAAATAGATACCTTTTCATCCATACAGTCAAACATGCATGGGATAGAAGGCCCACACAGGTCAAGATCAAGTAATCCAACAGTATAATTATTATTTGATCCACCTTGATCTGAGTTCTGACTACGTTCAAGTCGGCTGAGTCCTCTAGCCAGGCAAACAGAAAGACTGCTTTTCCCCACTCCACCTTTGCCAGATAGGATAATTATTTTGTGACGAACTGAGCCAAGACGACGTTTGATTGCTTGAATCGTTTCCGGTTCACGTTCAGAAAGAGGGAGTTTAGCCTGCCCACTTGAACACATAGATTGATTAGGACAACCTTCACAAGTGGAAGCTTTTCCTGCCTGATCACTCTTTGTGCCAGGACATGAAGATGGTGCATCAAGAGGAACATCTGACATACTTGACAATGAAAATATAAATTTTAGTATATGAAACGTGTGTCAATTCCCATTATATACAGACTTTTAGTTGACATTTGATTATTAATATCTTTTAGACACAAACAATACAATGGAATACAGGAAGTTTATATTATATACTACTGAAATTATAAATATAATGGTTTGAGGCTTCATAAATGTTCTTTCTTTTAATTGACACCAAGTGAAGTCTATGGTATGTTTTAAACTTTGAAGAAGCCCATAAGGGGGAGTGTTGTACATAGTCCTCTTGTGCGCATACATCCTGCTTCTGTTCATGGGCGACCAAGATCTCCATTGTCTCAAAAAGTTGGAAGCACAGAAAGTTTACATCAACTCAACAATCGTAAAATAACCGTTGGGATTAGGTGAACAGAGGAATTCAACCAAGTATTCCAGGAGGTTTCCTTACCCACTTAAATAACCATGTTAGAATATGTTAGTATTTGTGTAGAAAGCATTCTCTGACGCTCGCCGACTATGCACATGGTTCAGCATTCGATCCCCTGCCAACGCACACCTGATATCAGTGGTCGGCCTGCGAAATTTAGGCTGAAAATTCCATGCTTGTACCAAAAATACAGTGTGGAATCAAGCTATAATAAAAGAATAAAAAATAGCTTGCTCTGCGGATGCACTGCTAAATGAACATATGGGTGATCAGACGAGGGTTCTTATTTTCTACACAAATAGAGAATAAACCCCGACTAGTACAAATCACCTAAAGTTTTGCTGTGGAGAACGTCCTACTGACTGTTTTAGAAAGACAATTTCCACGTGTATAAGAATCCTGGTAACGGTCTTTTCAATCTTGGAGATTCGTCCAGATCCATGCACGTGATGATTAGATGGGGAGATTTCACTACTATCAATGGGTATTTCTGAATGCTAATAGTGACGCCATACTGACGCATGCTAGTTAAGGCCAAGTAAAAATTTTGGAGGTGGATTTTCTTATTTGGACTTAATATGAGGCAGTCATTTAGCAGAAGTGAAGAACAACAAACCTACAGAAACAAGACAGTCCTCAGTGCTTAAAAGATAGATTATCCAGACTAAGGGACATCGGCATACACATGATATTTGTTAACCTTAAGGTTTTGTTCAAAATCACTGATTAAAATGTGTTATGGTCGTACAATGAGAAATGTGTATATTATACTGATCAATGACTATAGATAATGTGACATGGCTCAAACTTTATCCAATTGGCACATGTTTCGTCAGTTTTCGTCTTCTTGCATTATCTTTTGTTTACTTTGAAACTGTTATAATTGTTTTCAAGTATTGTTGAGCTATCTGGCCTTATTTACTTTTTAAAATGATTCTAGACCGGCTTGCTTTGGCGGGAAAATTCACACGTCCATTATCGCCTTTCCGCATGGCCCACAGCTAATTGTACGGATCTGTGAATAGTAGATGAGTTCTACTTTCTAGAAAATTGCCGTCTACAGACCAATTACTCCTGTGGGTATAAGAATAAGATGTAGTCATCACTGTTGTATCCAAATATAACAGATAATTTTAACTCAACCAGCTGGTTTGATAGCTAATTCTTGCTCTCTAAATAAAACGTAAAGCTAGTCGACAAGCTAAAACACTAGCAGGGAAATCATCCAGAACAGAGTGTTTTAAAAATTAAACATCTGGTTGCAATTAGACTTTTATGCGTATGAAATTATCTTTCGGTTTTCAGCTAGTCTCTACTTGGAATCTTCCTAGATCAGAAGTCTCTCAACTTCAAAACAAGGAGGATGTCATATTTAGCTGAAATGAAACCAAGGCCGAAACACTTTCTATAACTTTTATATAACATGTTTTTAGTTAGGAGTGACAGCTTCTTGAAACACAGGATCGACTAGGTCGTCCAAAAAACAAACTCTAAATAAATATTGTTCACCAAAAAAGTGCCCAAAAACATGGTAATGTAAAGAGCAGGTATCAAAACCACTCCAAAAACCAGACTAAGTAAGCCATCATCAAAAATCAGATTACTGAGTTATGTAAACACGACCCAATATCCTTTATATGAGGTGGTACTAATCAAATTTATTTCGAGCTAGTTTTTAATTTAAATATCTTAAATCCATCCGTACAAAAATCTTTTGATGAGAGGGAAAAACTACAAGTCAAAATTTACACGATGTTTAAATGATGAACAGAGCTTTATGTAGACAGTGAAATTTATCGGCTACATGGTATTTATCTTGTTTTAAAAGACAGGAGAACTGTTTATATTATCAGCAATGCCTTGCGAAGTCTATTTTAAGGAAACAACAAATCTGTGGAAAGCCTCACGTGTTTACTTTTTATCAACGGTACGGAGCAACTTTGTGTGTGCGGCAAGGTCGCGTACCCAATATCCAATGTATTCATCACGAGCTTGTGTATGGAGGTTGTAGTTTTTGATGCTCGCTCCCTGTTTCGAATTGGCTATAAACTTTCGATGGACTAAAGAATAGACAATATATCTGCCCGGCTACCGTAGCTCTTCTGAATTCGATAAGAGGTATTTTAGTTTATTTTAAAAGACAATTCATGGTTTGCACCACGACACTGAAGCTTTCAAGAATTGAGAACTTCTTTTTGACAAAAAATCCTCCGAATTTGTAAGAAGGTGCCGCAAAAAGAGGTAATAAGGCGGGTGAATGGTATTTAGAATCTATCCACCAAATACCTGGATTTTTTTGTTAATTCGCTACATTCACTCATCAGCTGGCAGACTGTTCCAGTTGGCTTCGGTATTAATAGGGAACGGCGGCGGCGTAACCCGATATAAACGCAGTTTCTAACGTCTAAGTTACTGACCCATCCAGTAACACAAACGTGAATACAGGAAAGGGGAAGGGAATGACAGTGACAGAGGGATACTAAAGAAAGTTTAGAGTAAAATGATGGGCACGTTAAGTTGAACAGGTGAAATATTTGTGGTATCAGTACAACATCCTAAACTACAACTACTTCCTATCTAGATGCGCACAGACCAATTTTGCAAAATGGTCTAGCTTTCTTTTGAAGCTACAACCGATGAAGCGGTTGCCTTCTCGGAGAGAAGTGAGTTCCGCAGTTGACAAACCGTAATAGAAAGAAACTAAACACGGTTTTTACTGACCTCTGGTGGGCAACTCTGGTAATTCACTGTGCGAATGTTTCGGTGACCTTTCACTGGTTTATCTCAGTTTGGATGGCTTGTGATGGGAACTATTCTTAGGGTTGTTATAAAGTCTCCGCTAGTACTGCAGTAGCTGGGGATTTGTAGTGACACTTTTTGCTGCGCGACCATCATACAGTAGTCGCTCCTACCGAGTGAGGTTAATACCTACCCTCTTTTGTGCATTTCTATTTAGGATTGGTGGTGCAGTGGCAATGTACACTTCTGGAGGTGGTTTTGTATGGCAGAGTCAAAATGTTAGGTATAATTGCACCTAGTTACGTGGAGTAGAGGGCTTTCCCGTCATTGATTGCGTAGTTACAGTTTATTTCCAATTTTTTCGTCAGGAGTAGGTTGAGGTCACACTGTGTCCGTATTTAGGAAATGTTTGTTGCTAATAATGAAGGGAAGATTCCTCCTCTAACTGGGATGCGTATGAACATCGTCTGGTGTTTGTTGATGCTAAAAGCTAACCCTTAATATATGGTCTGAATCTTCATTTTGGTTAGGTTTTTCCACAACCTGATGCAGTCTTCCTCACTCCTCACGGCCATCCATAACCTTGTATTTCTTACGTAGAGAAATGCTGGAGAGCCCAAGTTATTTAGTAGGTAGTTTTCGAAAGTCAAACATCATTGTAGACCACTAATGATTATTTGCCAAATTACAGAGGTTAATGATCCACGTTTGGAGTATACTCTTTTACTTTCATGCAAAATTACTTACCCTTTTAGTGGCCTCAGACTCAAGATAGTGCGAAATGCCGAACCCCCCTCTGGATGCTCTCCACTCTTAGGATTCACGAGACCAAAAGCGGAATGCCTTAAATGAGTCTCAAAATAAGTGGAATATTTTGGTTGGAGCAAGCTATCATGTTGTTCCATTTTGCTACCATATTAGTAGTGCAGGACCGATACTTCACGATACCATGTTCATCTTCGCTGAGGGTTTTGTTTTTATTTACATGTAATTATCCAGTGGGCCTTCCATTTGGCATTATCGGCGGCTGCGCTATAAGATCAGTAGTACTTAGAATTCCATCAAAGCCCCCCCGCTTGAAAACTGGACAGCCAGCGTCCAATCCTTCTGTATCAGATGCCTGTCTGATGAGTGACAACACAGCTCACTTAGTTGTTACCACAGTGCATCAGGACACAGCGAGCTACCGGCCTGATTTTTTAGCAACTTGAGGAGTCGCCTAGGAAGTGTTGTTAATATCTTCAAAACCATGCCTGGATTTATTTGCCGAGAATCTCTACGACCTCTGAATGTGCCATATGTTCTTGAGGTGAACGTGTGTACTTTGACCAATTGTTATGCACAGCAAAAGAGTTTGGCTATCTCTAACTCTCCAAGGAGTCAGCCAGCAGCATTTTTGATGTAATGCACACCCTGACAAGTCATTTGAGGTGTGGCTCGGAGTGGACTTTAGATTGATTTATGAGTTACTTGCTGTGATCTCTCTAAATGTCATCCTCTCCTCCTGGACTTTGGTATGAAATCGATCATAGGTGTTTTAATAACATCCTTCACACAATCCCAGTACCCGTTCACTAGTAGTAAATGGTGCTCTTGCTGTGGAAATTCCAACATCACTGGTTCTCACATTCGTTCGAAGTTATTTTTATTCTAAGTTTAGAGTAAGTGTTTTGTCCTTGGACAATCGTTCATTAATAACCAACTGAAACATCATTACTGAGTAACGACTGCTGACCGTTGGGGGATCCTTAAATGACAGAGAAGATTTGTTGCTCAGGTGGATGGTTCTGGTTTGGCTGTGTTCCATGAGCTGGTAAGTTTAATCGCGAAGTTCTTATTATACTTCTGTACAACGTGCTCATAGCAAGCTTTAATGCAAAGTGAACCTATTTGAATTCTCCATGAATGAGATAATCGTATATCCTGACAACCATTGTCGTGATTAATTGCCGAAGCAATTTCTATCAAACACCTGAAACCAGATTTATATGTTCAGAAAGAAGCAGTTATTAGTCTTTCCTTGCCCCGATAACTGGATGTCGTTATTCTCTCATTTGGTAAAGTAATTTTTGTCTTTAACCTCACCCCCTTTTATCATCTGTAATTTTGCCTGTCTCTTGTTTCTATGATTTGAGTGGAACTCAGTACATTGTTACTTAATTTATTAGTCACTCTGTATCTTACGTATCTCTCGTCTTAATTACGCAACTCCTTTACCATTGCATGTATACATTTATTTTGTTTAAACTTGAACTGCCTGTGTGAAAACTGTATAAGCTCAATTTTCTGAGCCCTGTTCACTAGTTGTGGAACCTTCTGTCAACTGACACCATGAAAAAATTTGCAAATCTATTAAAACCTTTTCTGTACATAAACCTCATAATTTCTTTAGCCTGTAAGCAGATGATGAGAAGCCAACCAAATAAACGATGATGCCATATCATTCTGCACAAACCACTGTTGTTCTTACTTTATTCAAATTCATCAAGGGGAATAAATGCAAGAAATTGTCTAGATGGATAACAAAAGCTTCGTAGTTAGACGAAGCTGCTGAAGAAACACAAACAAATGAAAATGTTGGGGATTCTATTTTTACATATTATATACGCAGATGGTCACTCTCCAGAAAGCATTAAGGCCTGCATACTTTGCTGCCCGCAGCATAACGTGCGTCATCCACGAACGGTTACCAAGTATGGGTGATCATGGAGGCATTCAGTAGCTCTCTACCGAAATTTCCTCCTTGTGTATGTTCGCCATCATAGTTGAAGTGCATTAAAGTCATCTTTCCATGATGATCTGGTCAAATCCCGTGGTCCAAACCACTTGAACTACTTCTGTGACCTGCCTTTTGTGTTTTACTTCTCATGTTAAGAATCAGCAAATTTTTTGCCGGAAACCTCATCTTGTTCACAGTGTGAAACACCAATGTGACCCCGGGTAGTTCTAGTAGGATTGCATTATTTGGTAAATCTGACAGCAGGTTGCTGCTTATGTAAACTGAAAGCCCCCTTTTCGTTTTATTCCTGCAGCTACTCCGATTTTCCTACAATAAAATAGTGTCTGACACCGACATACGGACCTGAGCTGAGTTTTCCTGCTACTGAAGTCTTTGACGTTTCTGTGAAGGTATTCGGTAGTTTCTTCCCCCCGCCTCACAGTTATTTTGTTTAGTGATCGCAGTTGTACTACGCCTGGTTATTTATGTGCTGCCTGATTCAACGGCAGCCTACCCCCCTCTGCGTTTTGGGGGTGTTTGGGTGTAGCAGGGATCAACCTTACTTCTCTGTAACCATGATGGAAAGGCTTTGTTTCACTACTTTTCTCAGCTGTCAACATGCATCCCTGGGCATGCTCTCATAGGATCTACTGTTGCTGCTCATTTTGTCTTTAGCTGAGTAAAAATGCTTTGACAGTGCTGCGCAGTGCCCGATCATCCAAAAATACTGCCA